TTTTTCGTTTCAATGTTGAAAATATTTTTCGTAAAATATTTCAAATCTCTCTGGTACAGGTGTGTTTTACTCGTCGGTGGTTCTCTTCCCTCGACACATATGAAAATACAAAGATCGAAGGTACAAAAATTTGAGGATCGCGGCAGAGTTAAGAGACGTTTCCCGAGAGTGGGGAGAAACTCACTTTTTCCTTTGACAAATTCGGAGCTGAGATCCGCTGACACATGGTAACTACCGGCGACGATCAGTAGAAGAAATGTCACGCCGAGGAGGATGCAGGTCGACAGCGTTCGTGGCCCGTGTCGGTGTTCGAACATGATGAGCTCTCATGCCCTCTACGAACCCATGGACCTTGCCAAGGTGATCTCGACAATGATTCCCACTTCTTCGCGCTCTCTTCGAGTGTTGCGAGCAAGGAGAGGATCGGAACTGCCTCGAACAAGCGTTCCCGCTGCTGCCATCGCTGTCTCTTCACCGTGTTGCTCGCATCGTTCGTCTCACGGGATTGTTTCACGTCTGTAATTCAAGTAACCGATCGTTAGAAATCTAGACATTTTAAATGTAGCGCAGGAAAATTTCTGTACATTTCAAAACATAATAGTCTCAAGAAGTTCGGTGTCGTGCGAAGTTTAACATTTTTTATAACAATTTGAACGAATGTTTCATTGCATTTCTATTTAAAACGTAGGAAGAATTGATATGATATTTGTAGTATGTGTCATAATATTCGAAATTTCATTCATATTACAATAGTAATAATTAATCTCGTAAAATAAAATGATAAATTATTCTATGATATTAATTAACATTTATGCACACTTTTGCATTGATGAACCATATTCATTGCGCTGTAATAACAATTAATCTCGTTATTTCACGATGATTAATTAACGCTCTTTCTGCATCATTAATGAAATAAAATATTCGATGCACCCTATGATCTATAAGAAATGAGATAAACGATGCATTTTCGACAATCGTGTTTTAATAAAATTTAGGTTAATTTTATCAACGCATTGTCAAATCGACCGCTTTCGTTCTTCCTTTTTCCCAAGTTCAACGCGCAAAAGTGTTGCGGCGCAAGTTTTCCCCGAGCCCGTGTCCAGTTTCGCAGGACACCGCATGGCCAGGATCGATTCCCATACTCGGCCAGCCGTACCTCGATTTGGAAATAGAGCACACCGATCGCGAAAAAACGTCTATTCGCCTTTTACGCCGGCAATTGTTTTGTCGTCGCCTCGGCTTGAGGGGCTCACCTTCTTTCCCTTTCCGACCAGAGGGGATCTCGCGCGGATTGTTTCGAACAGATTCAAAGGAGAGGAAGAACAAGAAGAAGAAGAAACGAGAACAAAGAGGAAGAAGGACAAGGAAACAGGAGACAAGAGAAAGGGAGACAATGCAGCAAACAGCAGGTGTCTGCTCTTCCCTTGCCCTTTTCTCTCCCTTTTATTTCTCTCTCCTTCTTCATCTTCCTTCCCTCCGGCCGTGACACGATCTCATCCCGGAGGCCCTCTCACGGCTCCTTCTTTGTTCTTTCGCACTCCCCGCGGAGTGGCGAACACGGGTTGCCTTATTCGGCCGCGATGGCCAACGATTAACTTAAACAAATGACGTCGACTAGGGTTTCGTCGAGTCCTCCCTACCAAGTAGCACTCCTGATTACCACTGGTCTCTTCCTCGTCAACTCTCACCCCCCTTTCTCTATCGTCCCCTATTCTATTAATTACGATTCGTTCGTTGCCTTCGATCTCTCCGAGTCAATGAAGCGCGAATGTGTTCGATCGTGATTGTCGTGCTCATCTCGCGCTTTCGTCTTCGCTTGTTCCTTCTTGCTTGGCTCGTTTCTCGCACGAGCTTCCCTTCGCTCGGCTCTCCCCTTTCTA